TTGTTATTTTATTTTATTTTATTTATTTATTTATTATTATTTTTTTTTAGATAGATATTTTATATATCTATAATCTGGATGACTACCATGATATTCATGAAAAAAGATGCCCAGACACAGTATCACTATCAACGACCAAGCACATAGCAACATGTATCTGCAAATCAGTAAAGACGTGTGCACCAATTCTTCTTAGTTTTAATAATATATACATCCACAATTCGCTTAATATTGATGCGAGTAACATTTGTTTTAGATTAGAACACCAATATACTGGAATATTTGATGGTTTATATGGAACATGAAGGTTACAATGGATTGCATCTGGTGGTTTAAAAAAAATAGTTTTGATCAAATAGATTTGTTAACAATTTACGTTTATGATGATGCGATAATAGAGCGAAAGGAGGAGCAGTTTACAAAAAATAAATGGTTAGTTGGGTTTCAAGAGAAAAACTTGCATTCGATGTTTGATTATGTAGATGCACTACAAGTTATATTGAAAATCAATAAGGATACCAAACACTTGCATAATCGGGTAGCTTCTATTGTAGTAGACTGGCCAGGCCAGCTTTTTATTCGTAAAGCAATTACCAATCTAAATAATTTTTCTTATAATATTCCTTATGAGATTAGTTTGTTTGTCTCCTTATTAGGACCATTACATGTTTCTTTGAATAGTTGAGAACAGGTAGTAATGAAATATAATTTTTTTTTTCAAGATTTGTTTCACTTCATTTTTGGTAAAAAAAAAAAAATGGCTAAGAAGTCTAGACCATGGCAAATTAATTTGTTACTCGAATTAACATATAAAGGATGGTGTAAAATTAGAGAAAAGGTTATAGAAAAGTTCAGATCTAATTGCAAAGACATTGAATACTATATGGTTCTAGATCTTTTAGATAATTTGATTCCTACTACGTTAAAAATTTATACTATCCTTTTTCGATCTGGTTCGTTTAATGAATACTTAGAGACAATATTCTGAATCTGGATATTTATGTTACGGTGGCGGCGCAACAATTATAACAAGGCACTACTCGTATTTTTATTTGATGTATTTTACTGGCAAGACAATAACTACCCATTTAGCGAAACAATTAAACTTTTTTTGGTAAATTTTAACAAATATTATGTTGAAAATTTACATAGTAGGATTCGTGCGCAAACCTCCCCAAATTCAACATTAAAAAGTATCATACAACAGGCTTATGTAATTGGTATGTATGTATATACATATGTATATACTTTTTTTTTTTAATTTATTTAAAGTTTAAAGCACTAATTTTTTACATTACAGATATACAAAGTGAAGATAAATTGCGAAACTTCTTTCTTCAATCAAGATAATATCCTTACATCTCCTTGACATTAAACTTTTTAATTGAAAAAACTGGGCTTTTTCTTCTAAATTACCTGCAAAAAATTTTTAAAAACCGCAAAAAAAGCAAACTTCATGAAAAAAAATATACCCAAATACTATCTGGCCACTATAGACAAAATTGTGGATATAAGATGTCTTCCTACGGGCTATAGTTCGAATTTCTTCCCAGAACCTGATCTTTGTGACTATTGTCACAAGATTTTGAAGAATGATGGTAAAGGTTTAATTTGTGGACACAGCTATCATAATAGTTGTTATACAAGTATAGAATATTGCTGCCGCCACTGCAAAGAATATTATAAAAGAGGGATCTACCATAATGTTAATAGTTTGTAAAACATTTGGAAAAAGGACCCAACACATTCACTAAAAAAGAAGAACAAGAAAAAAAATCAGAGGATCCAAGTCAAGAAGAAAACAACGATGATGATGTAACAGAAGTAAAGACAGAAAAAGGCGATGCTTTTTTAATGACACTTAATACTATTAATAATTAGTAAAAAAAAAAAACAAAAAAAAACAAAAAAAAAGATAATGAAAAAAAAAGAAGTGTTAGCTTCTATAAGAACGTTGTCAAATATGTGATCCCACGTGATCCCAAAGTTTTAAATAAAATAAAAGTATTCTTTGAACAAGTTGCTTGAACTCATTGTTGGTAAATTTAACAGGTGTTACAACTTGTCATATGCACAAGGTTGGCG